AGCTATGATATCGTCGAAAATGAGCAAGGCTGAGGAGAAGGCAAAAGCGCTTTGCTCGGCACTAGGAACCTGAACACCATGTAAATCAAGAAATGCTGGCGACGAAGGTCCGATGTGGCTCATGATGGCGTTGTATTGGAAGCTTGGCCCTCCAAAGCCCTGTTCGGTATCTGCACTGTTCATCATTTGCTGAAAGAGGGCTACAGCAGCATTGAGATGTGCCTGACAATTGCTAAAGCTCGAGACGGAAATCTCGAATCGCTGTATCTGCATGATGCTGGCTAGAGTTCGTACAGCTCCATGCAAGTGTCCCGCAATACCCAAACCAGTGATGACCTGAAGCGACTGTCTGAGAACGTTAAAGGCAGATCTGGTCTGCCCAAGCACCGTCTCCCATAACACATCACCATTGGATGGCTCCTGGACGAGAGAGAAGAAATATGAGCTCTGGCACAAGGTGATTTCTCGTAGTACGGGGCTGCTGAGCATCATCTCCAGTATCCATGACCGCCCTCCTTGGAGAAGCGAGGGGTGGTAGAGAGGGAACTGGAATGGGAAGAAATGCTCGAGGTAGAACATTATCAGTACAGTGTCACTTCGGCCGAGGGGTGTCTTGAGGAGTACATCCTTGGCCGCAAGCTTGCAGCTGTTCCCGCGTTCAAGCCCTGTCGTTGTCGCCTCTGGGCATGGCTTCATCACACATTCGAGCACATTTGCATCTTCATGCGCATTCTCTCCGACTAAGGTGTCAGAGCTTGACGCGTGGGCGAATGCACGCTCCCCCGTGCCGCGAATTCGCCGACTCGCCATTTCCTTGACCTCGCCCTTGAGCCGTAGGGCCATTTCCTCTTGCCGGACGCCGCCATCCATCCACTCAGGCTTCTCTTGACCATAGTGGCAGGTAATCAGTAACGCAGCACATGTTGCGCACACAGGATGGTTCTCGTCGCACTTCTTGCGCCGGAGTCGACAGGTCCAACATCCGTTCGAGCTCCGGTATGCGTTGCCTGGGCGAGGCACCTGATATTCCATTTCCGCGCAGCTATGGGAGACGCCGTGGACCCCGTCACTTGGCTGAGCGTTGATATCCAGGCGTAATGAGTATGAGAGGCGCAGTGAGATGCACTAATAAAAGCTCTTTACAACTGCGAGCTGAAATGCATTCACATCAAGCATCAAATATGAATACAGTAGCTGAGGCATCGAAGGGCGCCGCGGGGAGTTCGTCCCCTGATTACAAATACCGCTACCCAAGCCCCAAAGTATGTAAGCGAAACCAAACGGCTGCACATCAGCACCTGGTCTAGAAGTTACCATGTGCAAACCCTATCTATTCAGCATTCACTAGGTAGGTATGTAGTGATTTTGTGCAAGTTCCACAGTGAGTTTATCGCGGCAGTGGTGTTGACTACGACAAGGCGTGTGCGAATCACTCCTGCTAGGGAATTGCTGGATTCCTTACTCCTAGAAGCCCATATACTTGTGGCAACTGTCTTGAACGATAGGTACCGCTCACTCATGAGAGCAGAGAGGATTTGGAGCCGTGGAGGTGCGGTGGACCATAGGCGATGCTGTGCCACATGCTTCAAGCCACGGTATTGGAGACAGGAACGGATTCATGCAGCCAAGCAACGTGTTGATGACCCAAATAGAACGGGTTCCAACTTTCCAGAAGGAAACTTTTTGACGTTGCTTGGAGGAGGGGCTGCGATGGGCCCGACCCTTTGGGGTATTTGGGCTCTGGAGCAACTGTGGGGCAATCCACTGACAGTCCCAGAGTGAAACGGGACCTAATGAATGAATCTGTTCTAGCCAGTTTGTACTAACGAGGCGGTTACCTATGTAAGTAGGCACTCACTTAACTACATAATGGGGGCCTAACCTACCTAAGGTAGTACGTACTTTTTCACACTAATAAATAGAAGCGGGTGTCCATTGCCCACGCTATCCTTTTCCATGTTCCAAATTTATCCGATCTGGTCACATCGTCCATGAGCAGAGTATAAGGTGTAGGTACTATTCGGAAGACAGCCCCATACCTATTCCTGTTACGTGGTCGTAGAATCCGATTCAGGAAGCATCACTAGAGTTGCCAATGTTGCTGCCCGTGACAGATCCACACGCATCGAGTAAGAAGGCCAAGAACAAAGGCTGACTTTCAGTGCAAACAGTCGCGAATGCGGTACAAAATTCTATACCTACGAGCCTCCTGCTTGATACTGGGGCGCATTGACGGTGACGACAACATCGGTCATCAGTCGACACCCTGTAGTTTTCACAGACTGGTTCTCCATGTGAAAAAAAGTTCAATAACCAGTACCTACTTAGTAGGTAAGGTATGTAGGTAGGTAGTCATTTGCGGCCGACCAAAAGACGACCGCCCCGTGCTTCCCGCCAAGAGCCAGAAATCGCGTGCTATATATGTATGACATCGTCAAGAAAGTTCCATACTCATACTGGGGTTGAAGGAATAAACGGCGGGACTTGGCACGTGGCTGACTCTAGGTATCCCAGTTCAGCCCAGTTGACAATCGCTGGCACAGACTCGAAAACCCTGGGAACTGTCGTGCTATCGGAAGGGGCCGTAGGAAGTGGTTCGTCCATCATACGCCAATAAAGGAAGCGTGGGGATGGCTCGGCACTTGGCGTTAGTCAGCTTCAAGGCCTGGATCGTCCTGAAAACCATCAAGTGAGGAAATTTGCCTAGCCAGCTCTATATACTGCTCGAATATTGATGGTTCTCTGCACGTTTGCTGACCGATTTCAGCCTTATAGAAACCGCGCCAAGTCCCCTGAGCTGGCCTGTCCGTATATATGGTCATATGCGGTCGTGTGACGGTCTATAATATAAGGACTCAAGATGAGCTCCTGAACTTGTTCTCGAGAATAATGGACAGTGACGATTCCGGTTTTTTTTATCCTTTGCATAGCTGCGGCGTTTGAGTTTCTTCCCCTATGATTCCCTCCAACATGGACGTTTTGGATACTTTTTTGCAGTCTTTCTATCCTGCTCTGGATGATCGACTTCCACTTCCCAGATGGTATCATCCAGCCACATTCGCCCTGGCGGTTACATGCAGCTTCTTTGGTTACAACAAGATCTCGACTATAGTCTGCTGTTCTCTGCTTTTCTATCTCTTCCTCCAAAGACCATACTATACAAGCGGACTCCCCTTAGGCGACTTCTGCTTCGGCGCTGCTCCGCTGGTGATCCTACTTAAGCTCGCCACTTTCCATGCCAGCCCACCCCGATACCTAGGACCAAAGCCAGGCGGCCGTGGTGTCTCAATCGAAGACCTCCCGTCTTTGAAGCAGAAACTACTATGGGCAGTGGCTCTGCAGTCTACAGTCCGCGGCATCGGCTGGGACTGGCAAGTCAAGGGTGTCCCTGCCCACCCAGAGGCGACAAGCCTCCCCCGCTGGAAATGGCTGGAGATGCAAGCGCTGCGGGTAGTAAGGCACCTGATACTGAGAGCTATTGCGCTCTATACACTCGGATTCTGCAGGGTGTTGCAGGCGAGCTCGACGTCGGCCCAGGTGATTAAGCTCTACGACGTCGCTATCGCTTGGAGCGGCGCCATGTGGCTGTACCAGTCCATCTTGATTTTGGGATCGGCCGGTGGATTCATGACTGTGAGTCGCGGCGTAGACGAGCCGTGGCAGTGGCCGTCGATGCTTGGTCCGTTGACGGAGGCCTGGAGTGTTCGCCAGATGTGGGGGTAAGTACCTACATTTGCGTGCCTACTCATCAAGAGCTTGCTAACTTTCAAACAGTGTCTCATATCATCAAATGTTCCGAAGAGTAATTCATCAGAAAGCCTATCCATGAGTTCAAGCAGCTGACCATTTGGCACGTAGGCTTTCCAAGAACCGAGCATCAAACTCACGCGCTTCCTGGGTCTGAAGAAAGGTTCCCTAGGCTCCCGATATTTTCAACTGTACTTTGTCTTCGCCCTCAGCGCATTTTACCACTTCTGGGGCCAATTCATCGTCTCCCGTCGCGATCAAGGCGAATGGGCTTTCTTCATGACTCAGCCTCTCCTGATCACACTCGAGGATTTCGTACAATGGAACTGGGCCAAGGTGGTCGGTCCCGTCTCGTGCCGCTCAGCCCACCTGCGGAGGTTCGAGAGGGTTGTGGGCTACGTGTGGACGTTTGCCTGCTTTAGCTGGACCTTGACACCACACGTCAGGAATAGGGCGGGTTTAGGTGCCGCGGGAAAGCCGGCTCCTCTGGAACTTGGTTCCCGGCATGCTACTTCCTTTCTTCGGGCTTGATAAACAGGGAGTCAGCTGTAGTGTATCATGAGCTATTCATTTAATCAAGTTTCTCCGTATCAATTGCCTGTATTATTTAGCTTACTAGAAATAGAATGAAAATTGTAGCATTGAAATCATCTTAGGACTCAGAGAAGTGTCGTGACATGATAAGGCATGCCATGGCAGACGCACAATGGAACTCGGGAGATATCAGCAGCTGGACTAGAGATTCTGGTTGTGTTATAACGCGTGGCGTGAGATTATCAATATGAGATGCTGGGACTGGCTGGCAGACCAAGCAGAACATGTATCGAAAAATTTAAAGATGTAGGATATATTCTCTAGTGCAATATAGATACACGACTTGAGTAAGAATGCACATCAAAGCAGAAATTAGAAAGGGTTGAAAAAAAGTCAAGTATACATAACAATACAGTGTGCGTGATCTGCTGAGCTTCTCTGATAAACAGTGGAATTACTAAGGAGGCGGTGCGGGAGCATCCTTAACGTAAGACACTACCATGAAAGAAAAGAATTGAATTAGAAATTTACGTTTCCTGTGAAAACCGGATCTGGACTCTCTCGAAGAAATGACAAATATGCCCACCCATATGCGATGGCTGTTTATAAGCTACATACCTCCCTGCTGACGTAGAGGGCTGAGCGGTACTGCATCACAACTCCAAGCAGATAGTCTACAGAGAAGAGACGGACGATATCTGCAAAAGAAAAAAAGAATTTGGACCACGCGGGGATCGAACCCGCACCTCCGCCCCTAAACCCATAGCCATCTTTCCCACCTCTTACCATCCAAAGAAGGGGGGTGTGCTACCAACTACACCACTGGCCCTTTTCATCAGGTGGGATGATGACAAACTGCCTGCTTAATCGGCGACATAGCTTGCTACATCGCCGCTGTGCGGGCGAAATCCCCAAGTACTTGCCGGAGTACAACCATTCTGACAAGCAGTCTCCCTGACGACTATGTCGTTGTCACAAGACAGGACAGACAAACGTACCCACCGCAGGTTTTGCCGTCAGGTGGATTTTGATAGAAGCTTACTCCAGAGATTTTCTCATTTTCCCAGAGTGTCCTATGCCCTGATGTCTTTTGACGTTTCTCAAGCTTCAAACCTCGCCAGTCGTCATCTCGAGGCATTGATAGTCATGACGAGTGTGGCTTACCATTCCATGAACAGAACCAGTAAGGCATCTCAAGAAGTGACTGAAGTATTGGGGGAAAAAAGTATTACCGAAGACGTGAGATCATGCTGTGAGTACAGTTGGTTGGTCCCACATGAGTGACCATCTGGAAAAGCCCAGGTTTCTCTATGTAGTTACTTCAACGAATAGAAATACAAGCTTATGTATTGAGCATTTCGTACGATGCACATTAGAGCCCCCTCTACTGCGAACGCACCCCGTGGATGAGCCTGGTTCAGGTCGCTTCGGATACCACAATGGACATGTGTGGAATATGGGCACGTATGATCATTGGGAAATACAGATGTCGATTGAAAGGAACGTGGGGTATTTGCCTAGATACTTGACACATGAGAAAAGGGGAAGCGAAAAGGAGTGTGCTCCGGTTAACCTTGACATTGTACACGTTGAACCTCTCTTTCCTTCCTTTTCCGTTCCTATCCCGTTTTAGAAGTTCCCAGATATTGACTTCTTGACGCCGATCGTAGCATATCTTGCCGCCTCAATCAAGTGTTACACGCGATAGCCGTCATCCCACAGGTATCTCAGGCGACACGAGCTATGCTTTGGGTTGGTTTCCATATTTCCAGGCTTTCAGCTTAAGCCTCGCTCTCAGGCCTCTTTTCATCCGAAGCCACGATGCCCGATTCGACGTAGGCAGGTGGGATGTCGGCATCTTCATGGTAGGCCATCAGACCAGACTTCTCGTCATCAACGGCAGCATCATGCTGGGCTGCCTTGTGGCAACGTCCATGGGCGTATTTGTTACGACGCTGGCAGCTATCGCGGCGAACAAAGGTACGCCAAAGGAACACAATAAATGTACCGACCATCATTCCGAGGCTGTTCTAGATTAGCAAGGTCCAATACGGATATGGTTGAGATAACTTACATGCTAGCAGTGACACCTACCACGACACCAACCGCAACGGGGAGGAGAATGTGGTAGACGATGTTTCGGAAGAGGTGACCCATTCTGTTGTTGTGTTGCTCGTGGTGGTAGGGGCGTTGACCCTGGTGAGCGGGCTTGCGCATGCCAGCAGACATGTGTCCAGTGCGACCTCCACAACCTTGCATAGCGCGAAGCTGAGCGATCTTCTGCATGATGATAGCCTTCCACTTGCAGAGCATGGTTGTGCACTCCTCTTGCTTGTCCATGGGGCTCTTCTGTAAGGTCTGGGAGTCCATAGTATCGATGGCACCAATCATGAGTTTACCAGACGGTGTTTTGACGAGCTTTACTTGTACATTCGGGATGCCATCAGCAAAGACCATGCCAACCTGGATGATCTGAAGTTCAACCATAACAAGCTCAAGCGCGTCATCCTCAGTAGTAGGCACAGATTGAGTCTGCAAACCGTAGCCCAGCGACTGAACCTTTCCGGTGTTAGGCATGCCTTTGAAGTGAGTTGGTCGTCGGTTAGGGATGTCGGCTTGAACACGAGCGGACAGACCCCCAACGTCTTCGGGATGGGGGCTAGGATACAGTTCGAAGCCATTTAGCAAAAGCCTGTCCGTGCCTTCCGCAGCCTCGATGGTGAAGTCCAGCTTCAGGTGGCTTGGGATAGTATTGGTGAAGGCAGTGTCGTCTTTACCGACACTGACAACGCAACCAGGGCATTTCAAATCCAAGCTCTGGGTATCGGCGATGTTGGGAAACTCGACATCGGTCTCGGCTGGAATAGGGAGGGTTGAAATAATGTCGTTGTCGGAAGCGGAGATCTCAGGGGGTAGGAGGAGAGCCCCAGTAGAAGCCGCGAGACCGGCTGCGGCGATAAGAGAGGTCAGCTGCATCTTTGGCAGGAGTTCAGTAGGATAGAGGGCGAATTCAGATATCGGTGATCATCGAAGCAGGGAAAACAGTGGCGGAAAAGGGTTGGTTGATTTACTGATGAAAGGAAGGGAATGAAATGAGGAATGATGAGTGTGGTCAAGTCAGACGTTCCGGACTTGAATGACGAGACCGCCACGCCCAACCCACTGGAGACCCCTGGAGACCCCGCGACTACTCGCGCCAGCTGTTCAAAGACAACCTTTGTTACACTGGGTTTCATCTTTCAGCTGAGCGCAAGTGGCAAGTACAGTACGAACAGCTCTCCAGCCAATGCGACTTTCACTGGGTAGAAGCACTGCCACCTAACGTCATGTCACGTGGGGCCGTCTCTTCCAGCTGATGCAGATCCATGCAGCAAGCACGTTGCATTGGGGCATCGCGTACTCCAGCTGAGAGACAGGGCAGAGGTAGCTTCAAAACCGTATGTGTCTAGGCAGATATGTATATATTCTTTCGCATACAGGAAGCTAGCGTCTGCAACGTATTATTAGAGGCAGAGGTGCTGTAATCATTCATTCCATCCCGTTAACGCAATCGAAATACCTAGGTACTTTTCACTCAACACAGAATGACCCTAATTAGTCTCCACGGGAGCCTTTGCAGGCAAGCTACATACACTCCCACACGTCTTAATAATATATAGAGATACATTTTCGTCCCCGACAAGTTACTCATAGCGATACAGAACGGCGTATCAACTACCTTTGGTGAGTCTCGCTGCAAAACCACAAAACGCTTCGTTATCGAAGGAGTACCAGCCTTTGAGCTTAGTAGATGTAGCCGTGACTGGGTTGCTGGATCCCCTTGGCGTCAAATACTTTATAGTAGACTGTCTCGCCTCCATCAAAGTAAATCCCTCACGAGGACTTCATGCTCTTGCACGCCCTGTCTCTCAAGCTCCACTAGCGTGGCCATCAGTGATTTCTTCCTGAATCAGAGATCACAGTACCATCCCCTTGGGAACTTTCTGTCCCGAGCACCTAGGAACAGATTTATTAACAGAGCACACGCCATAATAAGTTGAAGAGAAAAGAAAATTCAGACCTACTGATGACACTCTTGACGAACAAGGCCAGCATTGCGTTCTCGAGGACATCTTCACCCCTCACACACCCGTAGCTACCTTCCTTGACGTTGAGCCACATGCATCCATGATCCCGGTACCCACGACGATGCCATCCTGCTCCTCGAGCCTTGCGATATGAGAGACTGGTCGGACCACGACGATTCTTGGGTGGATCCTTGGTTCTTGGCGGCATTGGAGCGGGTGACGTTCCCAGCGTGCGTTGACGATACAACGCGTGCTCGAAGCTGTCGCACCAAGTCATGCGCGCAGTTTTGTCTTTCGGCTTTGTAAAGGCCAAAGCCAGCCTCGAGATCCTCGTCATCGTATCGCTCAGGCTCTTCTGGTGTATAGCGGGCGTGTCTATTCTTCTCGGTCTCAAATGGCTCGAAATCATGTGAGCATTCCGAAAGTGGCAAAGGCCGATGACCACCGAGGGGCCCTCTTTCCATGACGGGATCCGGCTGCTGTCGGCCCATGGGTTGGACGGTGGCAGACTTCTCGAGATCTTCATGTTCCGCTGGCATGCGACCTACCGCCCGCGCCTCACAGCGCCGTCAAGTATTCGCGTCCATATTATGAGGTGAGAAGCGACCGCTTGAGATAGGCACTTGGTTTAGGAGAACTAAGAGAGAAGAATGCGTCGTGGATAGACTGCAGATTTCGTTCTTCCATTCGATCCGCTACAGTTTGCACGATAGTGGCATTTGTTGCGATGAAGTAATTTAGCGCTGTAGATAACCGTTTGACGGGATGAAAAGGCGCGCAACGACTACGGTTTCGATTCGGGTGTTGTTTGGGATCATAAAGCTTGCTTGGTGATATAAGTCCTTGTACGAAAACCTCATAAGCCAATCGGATCATTCAGTCGGAATGATTAAGAAGCTATCGTGAAGCTATCAGCCGTAAGTAGGGTCCTTCCCTAACAGGGATATCGCTCGTATGTACGTAGGACAAGCTGTACTGGATGACGAGCCTGGTTTATCGACATAAGAGTTGTTGCTCACTTGGCTTATCCTGCAGTAGAGCAAGAAACGCCGAGGACTCGAAGACATCTCTGGTTCTGATGTTGAGGGATGTAGTACATACACGCTTTCAAACGGCGGGTAGATTTACAATATTTGGGATGCAGCTCTAGTCACTCTCTCGGGCGGCAAGTAGGCAGGGTTTATGTATTGGAGTTTCATTTACCGCTCTCACTCACTACCTACCTATGCACCGCCTTCCGATGCGATAGACTAAGCAACACTCCGATCACCACGCCCACCACCACGCAAATCAGCGCCACTATAATGACCACTATAATCTTTAGCCGCCGCCGACTCCGTCTCTTCCTCTCCTTCTTGATCGCTCCCATCACCCAACCCTGAGAGTAACACGTATCCCGGCACGCCACCGCGCCGATCTCCTCCTCCTCCTCGCGCCGCTGCATCCGCGTCTCAGCCCGCGATTCCAGGTCTAGCCGCGACGTGCTATTCGGCGACAGCGCGCCCGGCCGCGCCAGCGGCGTCAGCGACGTGAAGCTACTCTGCGACGGTGTCGGGCTCGGGCTCGGCGTGAGCCGAAACGCCACCACGTCCGGCATCCGGCCGCCGCCCGCTCTCATGCCCGGCGAGTAGGGCGGCGGCGGCGCGAGCCCCGGCGATTCCGCCACGCCGATGCCGATGCCAAAGCCGGGATACGCAGGCTTGCTCAGCCCCGGCGCCATCTCGATCGTGGTGGTCCGCTCGTCCCGCGCCGACTGCGCCTC